CGTTCAAAGGTCTGTATACAACGTTGGATCCTCAAACTTTAACATGACGTGTTTTTCAATCATCCATCAACAAACTTGTCTAAGATCTTTATGGCAAACATCTAGTGAAAAAACAACCAATATCAAATTCATCATTTTCCTTCAACCGTGTTGCTCGCAAACGCCATTTACAAACTTCCTTAACACAAACTACTACATATGTACTCTTATTTGATTTAGTGACCTTAAATTCAAAAGAGTTTCTTAAAGCAAGCATTTGAAGTGAAGTCTGAAAATCTTTCTTGTTAGGAAAATTTGGCTAACGACGTCAAGAATCTTAGCTGAAGTTCCACAGGGATTCAAACAAACAACCTGTGAAATGTAAATAATCTCATCTATCAATGCAACAGTGTATTATAAAGTAACATTGTTTTCATTCATCACATGAGAATCATCTTCGTGGTTGTTTCACCTCATCCCAATAAATTATTTCATTAATTATCAAAATCGACTACTATTATATACGACTTCAATAATAAACGAAAAACAACCAATATTGTCACATAACATATTTAAAGTAGATAAAAACAGCATTATGTAGTTTAACTTGTAAACAACTATATCAATGCCACCATTATCAAATTACAACACTCAAATACAAAAAAAATAAAAAACAAAAAATGCACATTCCATTTCTATATTTCATAGCAAATATTGCTTAACCAATTGATTTTTCATTATATATAAACCTAAAAAATAATAAGAAATCATTAATTTTTAAATTATAAAACATACCTTCAATTGTTTGAAATCAAATAACCTATAGGCTCCTTGAACAATAAGTATTGATATAAACTATTTTACCAAACATTATAGTTGACTAGGATTTAAGGAAATTCCCCAATTTGATTTAGAAACTAAATATTAGAACTTGTCAATCAGCACAACCAATTACATTGAAGCCCTTAGTTATTTATTTGCAAAGAAAATTGTACACTTCATCCTTCTAATTGATTCTGCTTTTAATATTGATAAAAGAAAGTTGTAAAAACAATTTTCGCAGTCATTCAGATTTACCAAAATATCATCAATTTAAACGCAAGATCCGTCCAATTTATATAGACTGTATTTGTTATATTTGTTTATTAATATAAACTTTTCTAAATTTGACTAGTTATAATCAATGTTTTACATCTTGAAATAGTACAAATTTTAATTTGCATATTCCTTGAAATCGTCCAAATGTAATTGTTGGTTGATTTGCAAAAATTGCTTTTTCAATAACATCAAATAAACATTCTGAATCCTTTTGAAAAATAAAATCAGCGTGTATAAATAGGAAAGAGGGAGTAATGTTTTTTATGTTTTCCTCCTTGATGCTCAGGTAGACATGTAAAATTGTATGGACTTAAGTTGACTTCCTATGAACTGATATCGGGTGCTGGATTCATCCCAAAGGCATTGTATCAGTGCCCAAGAGCCAAACTTCAGACCCAAAATGATTTTGAATTATCACAAAATTTCTCCGACTCTCATTATCTTCTCCTTTTGAAGAGACAGTGAAAATTGAAAAAAAAAAATAGCAACCAGAAGAAGAAAATCAAAAGTAGGCATTCAGAATGAGTAGGAGGTTAGGTATTCCTGTCATGAATTAATCGGAATAACTTCGGTTTATCATCATTACGCCGGTTGCATCAATGTTCAAAAACAAAAACATAAGTAGGATTAAGAAATTGAAAATAAATATAGTAATTAAGAGAAATAAATTAAATAGAAAAACTCTATTGATAAATAAAAAGGAAGAAACCATCAGAGAAATTGGATTAACTGCATCAATGGCGACAAGAAATCTTGTCTCAGACGACCGTCGTGAGATTTTAAATCCTAATTCATCATTTGGCCTCAAACATTTAAACAAAAATTGCGAGGAGAGATATTTTAATTCCAATTCCTCAATCAATTTGGCTTCAAACGTTCAACTAACAAGAACTGCAAAAGAAGAGATTGTGTGGACTGGTTGGCGGTGTAGGAGGTACGTGTTGAGCTTTATTTAAAGGAAGAATCGCAGAGTGATTAGGGTTTTGTCTCGTGTTATGCTTGCCCTTTACGGCCCATACCACATTAAAAGGACCCAATCAACAGATTTCCTATTGGACTTTCGAGGCGGGCTTGTCAAAAGATACTAATGTTCGAAATTGACACAAATAGCACTAAATGATCATGTTTTCAATTTCACACGAGAGATTGGGGAAAACAAAGAGCAAGGCCTTCTTAGCATTTTGCCATCAACAAAAGAGACGGTAACCTTTTTATTTCGTCCTTCTTTGCTATTGAGGATAAATGATGATGTTGAAAAATGAACTTCGTGAATATCAAGTTTAAGGGGAATTTCAATTCTCCTATTTCTATTACTGTTTAAATTGAATATCTGCAAAATATGGGACTAACAAAAATAAGTGTTTTAAAGAACGTGTTTAAGTGCTATCTAGGTAAGAGGCATTTTCGAAGTGTCGCTCCTAGGACCTAGACACACGAAAGCGGGCAATTCTAACATTGATAGTCTAATGCTCATTTACTTGCAAGATTTTTTTGTTTGTTTATTTATTTATTTATTTATTTATTTATTGTGATTTTGAAATTTGAATTGGACGTCTTGAAGTCTCAACTCTTAAGACTCTTTAGTCCTAGTCCTATGTTCGAAAGGAAGAAAAAAAAAGGTTCGAATCCTTTAGATTAGAACCCTCCTATGGAAAAAAAAAAAAACTAACCTTTTCAACAGAGCCGAGCAACCGTCATGGCACGTCGGATGATGGCTATGTCCATGATTTCAGATGTCTGGTATGCATTATTTATTGAATAATGCTCCTTTGACATGTTGAAGGATAGGGATACACAAAAAGGATGATGTGACAAATAATAATTTGATGTTGTATTTTTATTTTTTTTTTCAAACTGTCTAATTATATATCGACACGTGTTCTCCTTATTTTTTAACATGTCTTCGAGTATGATTGTTATTTACTGAATATTTTTAAAATAACGTAACATTTTTTTACGTTAGATTTGTAAAGTTTGAAATTTGACTATAACGTCTTATCATACTTTACACTTTTTTATACGGCTAACAAAAACTCTGGAGAGTGGCTAGTGCCTTACACAAGTTCTCATATTGGAGCGGTGGACAAGTGTCACGGTGTTGGCGCGAGGTCCCTTGTTTGGTTTCAAACTTATCCAGCATTTGAAGCTCAATAATTTCCTTGAAGGCTTTTATCCTAAATTTGCTGGGTATGGTTCTACTCGCTTGACAGCTTCAATTGTAAAGCTGTCCAATATAGCCAACTGGACCTACTCACCTGCTCTCCACTTTATAATACCATGATCCATACCTCTTTACCCAAGGGAGCCTTCCTCCATGGATATTACATCACCAAGCTACTCCACCCAAATTGAGTATTACAACGCTCAGCTGCTCCATCCAGGAATCGAACTCCCCACCCTGAGGTTGCAAGCCCAGCAATGCCCATCCTTTGCCAACTTGGATGTGCCCCGGGGGGCTCCATACCTCTTTGTCTTAACTAGAGCCGGTGAGGGAATATTCCTATTCTATATATTTTTTAAACCATTCCTACTCTAATTTTGTTATTGTCAATAAGTTTTTCTTTCTACAACAAAAATCATAAAGCAAGCCGCTGACGGATTAGGTATCGTTGAAATGAACTGAAGACAGACAAATAGTATAAATAGTCAAATATCAAGACGACCAACCTAGTCACGGGAGACGAAACACATTCCAACGTCAAAGTCTATGAAGCTAAAGAGTACGCAATATTCGGAGTTTGTTAACTTTAGTATTAAGTCACTTAAACATGTTACTTTTTCTTTTTAAAATATTAAGCGGATCTTCGAACGTGTCTCTTTATATTAGTGTTATTCAACAATACCAGTGCCACATATCAGCATAGGTGACAATAATATAATATAAAATGATAAATTTATTTAAATGTAATGTCATATGATTTATTTAATCAAACTTATCAAATATGATAATGTAAATTATGCTTTAATATCACTGATATTAAATAACATTATTCAAAAAAAAAAAACCTATCCTCATTTCGTTGGCAATTAAATGCTTCCAGGCATAATCCGAGACCTTCGGTTTACAGCCAGCGGTTGTACTGTCTGGATTCTTGCTGTCATTTTGGCACACCCCGTGACCTCGTATCCTCTGCTGTGCCTTTTACTCCGGCTCTCTCAAACCTTCTCTGAAGTCGCGTTTGGCTACTCAGCACTTTCTCTTTATTTTATAAAATAGGATATAATTCAATTATTATAGCCCGTACAACGAATGAATTATAAAATGAAAAATAGCAGATGCAGTCCTTACTCTATCACTCTTATTCATTGTCATATTCAACCTTTCAAATAAAACATTTTGGTCTCAGTATTGTAATTTTTATTGGGACACACAAGAAAAACGACAAATAAATATAACTATTTATGAGGTCTAACAAAATTCATCCCAACAATGTCTACAATAATGAGAGTATCACTAGAGTCCGAAGAAGAGATTCAAGTTTTATAGTTTTGAGCACGTTGGATAACTTGGATAGATGTCATCCCTGTTCGGTGTGACTTAAAATTTTAATAAAAAATTAAGTCAAAATTAACAATAAAATTTTAACTACATATTTTATGAGATTCATAATTTTTATTAATTTTAATCATAAATTCATTAATTTTTATCAAAATATATTAAAATTTTGATTTTTAACTACATCAAACATGGCACCATGTTCCAAAATCAGAGGTACAACAAAAAAATAGAGATTTCCGTATCACTTTGAATGTTAAGGGCAATAATAGAACAAAAACAATAAGTTAGGGACTGTAGTTGCTATTTTCCAATGTAAAATCTCACCCTCTTCAAATAGCTGCCTCCCTCCTTTCTCTCTGTCTCTCCTATTTCCATCAACTCCTTCCTCCCTCCCTCGACGTTTCCTGCGAAAACACACACAAAAATGAGAGAAATCTTACACATTCAAGGTGGCCAGTGCGGGAACCAAATTGGTTCCAAATTCTGGGAGGTGATCTGTGGCGAGCATGGGATTGGACCCACGGGTCAGTTCCAGGGTGATGAATCCTCCGATTTAGAATTGGAGCGGATTAATGTCTACTTCAATGAGGCTTCGGGCGGACGGTATGTTCCGAGGGCCGTTCTCATGGATCTCGAGCCCGGAACCATGGACTCAATTAGATCCGGTCCGTATGGACAAATCTTTCGACCGGATAATTTTGTGTTTGGGCAATCCGGTGCGGGTAATAATTGGGCGAAAGGGCATTATACCGAGGGAGCTGAATTGATTGATGCCGTCCTGGATGTTGTGCGAAAAGAGGCCGAAAACTGTGACTGCTTGCAAGGTCATAATAATATTTTTACTTTAGTTTTCATACATTTATTTATATTATATTTATGCATGTTCGTGCATATACAGGGTTCCATGCATGTGCCATGTTATGTTATGTTAACGGCGTTGTTTGTGTGTGTGTGTGTGTGTGTGTGTGTGTGTGTGTGTGTATACAGATGTTAATTTTCTAGTTCTTGGCGTATTTTTTATGTATCTATTGTATTGTATATTTGTTGAAATGCGGCATTGTTATTGTGGCTCCATCGTTGGATTTTGGGTAATTTGATCACTTTTAGATATGACTTTTTTTCGTAGATCTCTAGTGTCATGATTTGCATGATCACCATGCATTTATGTAAATCAAGTGAAGGAGTGTCTTGATTTTTGGATTTTTTTTGGTAGATATTGTCTGTCAATAGGTGATCTTATTGATTTGATGAAAATTATTTCTTTACTTATAGTACCCTCATGCGAAGGGAAAAACCAAATGTTAGGACCACGTGCGATGGAGACTCGTTATAAGGATATAGATGTATTGTGGTACACTCATCTAGATCACATCAAGTAACATTATGAGACAAGATAAAGTACGAAAATGTAACGATATAATTTTTTGGTTGTCTTTTTTCCTTATCCTAGTCGACGTGCCAAAAATGCTATTACTCAACCTTATTTTATGTACTTCTTGTTTCTCTCCGATAAGGTAAGGTCAATGTGCATTACCAAGCAATTGAGGCATGGAAAGAGAGTAACTTATCTGTAGTTCTTATTAGAACTTAGCTTGTGCTGTAATTTAAAACAATGATTGATAAATCCAAACTGTGATTATCTTATTGTACATTATGTTCGTTTAATCATATGTTTATCTTTATTTGGTTGGTTGATATTTTATATTCATGAAGTCAATATTTTCTCTATGATGCATTATTAGTGGACCCCTATTTATTTTAAGTAGGAACCCTTCATGTTGGGCATTATTATTTCCATTTGGGGAGGAACTATTGATGCCCCTTCATTAATTATTACTTTGTTGTAATGGCATTGATCCATTGTACCGACAGTTCTATTACCCTCACCAACTACTAATAAGTGAAATTTCAGGTTTCTGTAGCCAATGTTTTAAGCTCGATCTGGCCATTGAGTTGGAAAAAGTAAATCCAATAAAGTAAAGATCAAAAAATTTAACCGGGGTAAAGTCGGAGGTCTAAAACCCGATCAATCCTGTTTGGATTGGCCAGTTGCCCGAGTTTTTTTGCGTTGATTACAACCTTCGTCACTTCAATTGTTAAATAATTTTGTATACTATTTAAGATAATTCAAAATGATAAAAATCATTTATTTGTGCAATTAATGGATGCAATCATGCAACTGGCAATTCTAATAATACTGAAGAAAGATGAACTGGTGATAGAGGAAAAAGACATTAGTTGATAAGCTTTACAGTTTGCAAAATTGTTTCATGTGGCCAGGATTCCAAGTATGTCACTCACTTGGAGGAGGCACTGGTTCTGGAATGGGGACCCTCTTGATTTCGAAGATAAGGGAGGAATATCCAGACAGAATGATGCTCACTTTCTCTGTCTTCCCTTCACCAAAGGTTTCAGACACTGTTGTAGAACCATATAATGCTACACTCTCAGTGCATCAGTTGGTTGAGAATGCTGATGAATGTATGGTTCTTGACAATGAAGCATTGTATGACATATGTTTCAGGACATTGAAGCTGAGCAATCCAAGCTGTGAGTATCCGCATGTTTACCTAAAGACATGCAGTATCAAACATGACTGTACAGTTTAATAGACAAGATGTTTCTTTTCGATCTTTAGTATTGTCCTGTGCTTTCACTTCTCCTTTTCAAACATGCACCGGGAAGTTTTGATTGTATGCTAATCCATGTGTTTTTGATCCTTTTGTCTGCAGTTGGTGACTTGAATCATTTGATCTCTGCAACTATGAGTGGCGTGACCTGCTGCTTGAGATTTCCTGGCCAGCTGAACTCCGACCTCCGGAAGTTGGCTGTGAACTTGATACCTTTCCCACGTCTCCATTTCTTCATGGTCGGGTTTGCACCACTCACCTCTCGTGGATCACAGCATTACGTCTCTCTCACTGTCCCGGAGCTAACTCAGCAAATGTGGGACGCCAAGAACATGATGTGTGCGGCTGACCCTCGCCATGGACGCTACCTGACAGCCTCTGCCATGTTCCGAGGGAAAATGAGCACCAAAGAGGTCGACGAACAAATGCTCAACGTCCAGAACAAGAACTCATCATACTTTGTTGAGTGGATCCCTAACAACGTGAAGTCCAGTGTGTGTGACGTTCCTCCAATCGGCCTGAAGATGGCTTCCACGTTTGTAGGGAATTCCACGTCGATTCAAGAAATGTTTAGGCGAGTGAGTGAGCAGTTCACAGCCATGTTCCGACGCAAGGCCTTCTTGCACTGGTACACCGGGGAAGGGATGGATGAAATGGAGTTCACTGAGGCTGAAAGCAATATGAATGATTTGGTTGCAGAGTATCAACAATACCAGGATGCTACTGCAGAGGAGGAGGAAGACTATGATGAGGGTGCGGAAGAGCAATACGAGGGCTAAAAAATTTAAATAAGGCTCAGCATTACTGCTTGATTGTTTTTGTTTGTCCACTTTGAATGATGTTATGTTATGTTCTTTTCTTTGCTGCCTTTTCTTTATCGTGAAGTGTTGACTGTAATATGTTAAATAGTTACATTTTTATATTCTGCATTAAGATGGTGCAGGTGGTGCAGCATCTGCATGGACAAGCAGTGTTTTGCTCGTTATAAATCACCAATTTCTGTAAATCTGAAATTTTGGGACCCACAATGGACGTTCTTCTGGGGTAGATAGAACTAAACAAGACAGAGGTAAATAACTATAATTAATCAAGTTCAATTATACATCCTAATAATGCCAAAATTGTTTTATTTTCAATGGAAGATTAGGGACGTAATATGTAATGTGTAAGCTGATAAAAGACAATCGGATGCGCTGAGCGGGGGTGAAGCATTTTTTGGAAGTGTTAAAACTTTACGAAAATAGGGATAATGTGCCCAAATTAATGATTAATAAATTTATAAAATAATAAGTTTTGAAAAATATTTGTACTTTTCCTTCCGTATACAAATCACGTGTTTGGTAGGGATTAAAATTAGAGTGTGTTTGATTGCAAGAGTGGAATTTACATGGAAAGAAAATGAATTTCAGAAAATTGAATTGCCTATAACTGTTTTCGTGAAAATTGTCAATTAATTGTGTTTGGTTAGTATAATTTTTCACGTGAAAAATATTAAAATTTTGGATTTTTTTTTTTTTTGTATTCGTTTAATTTTGTTTTACATGAAAATTGTCCATGAAAGGGATAAAATTTGTTACAATTGAGATTATAATTTGTTTTCATTACCAAAAAAAAATTCTTAAAAAAAAGTAAACTGAACAACCAAATCCCACCAAATTGGTGGGAATTGAATTTCATCAAAAACAAGGAATTGGAACCTTGTGAGACAAAACCAAGAAAAGGAATTGTCAAGAAAATTTAGTGCCCATCTATTTTAGATTATTTTAGAAAATAAATTGTTTGCCATTTTTTCCCACAAAATGGGGCCACTATCACACAATTTCTTCAAATATGGCGGCTGCAAATGTCAGAATTATGATTTCTAGTGGAAACAGACAAGTCCTTATTGTACCAAATATGCCTAAAGTGGAAGATTGAATTTCTTTTCCATTTTTCATGGAACTTTTTAGTCAATCAAAAAGAGCCTTAGATTTTTAGTAGATTTTGATAAAAATTGATAAAATATATTGTTAAAAAGTTATAAATTCCAGAAAATATGTGATAAAAATTTATCGTTCATTTTGACTTAAATTACCGAATAGGGACTTGATATAAGTAATGCTGAAAGTTGTAAGGAATTACATTGACTTTACAGGAAACACATTATAAAAATTTTGAAGGGCCAAACACACTGTTGCATCATCACCCTCTTTCATTCTAAATCCTCAACACTTTTTAAAATTTTTACACAAAATACATGTAGGCAGTTGACACCCTCTGCTGCTATGGTACTTTCTCGCATTTTCTACCCCACTTAGGCCAAAATTGTCTCATTTTGAAGCATTTAGAAAAATCGCCTCTAATAGCTGTCATGTGCCATCCTTGTGCTTGTTTTTCTACTAAATTGGAAGACTTAAACCAACTTGACAGTACGCTCACTTACTGGGGATACTTTTCAGTTTGTCCTAATCAAACGTGCAATTTTTCATTTTGTCCAAAAAATTTTACCATTCACCACAATAGTCTTTCAAGGATGAAAAGTCGAAATTACCCTTAAAATGTTATATAAATTACAAAAAATGGTATAATATAAAAGACAATAATACCCCTTTTTTAAGTTATAAAAAATTTCAACACTTTCCACTTAAAATTTCGAAATCACTTTCTTTATCTGTTTACTCCAACACAGATAAAAAAATATTAAAATTTTGGATTTTTTTTTTGTTCATTTAATTTTGTTTTACATGAAAATTGTTCATGAAATGGATAAAATTTGTTACAATTGAGGATATAATTTGTTTTCATTACCAAAAAAATTCTTAAAAAAAAGTAAACTGAATAACCAAATCCCACCAAATTGGTGGGAATTGAATTTCATCAAAAACAAGGAATTGGAACCTTGTGAGACAAAACCAAGAAAAGGAATTGTCAAGAAAATTTAGTGCCCGTCTATTTTAGATTATTTTAGAAAATAAATTGTTTGCCATTTTTTCCCACAAAATGGGGCCACTATCACAATTTCTTCAAATATGGCGGCTGCAAAGGTCAGAATTATGATTTCTAGTGGAAACAGACAAGCCCTTATTGTATCAAATATGCCTAAAGTGGAAGATTGAATTTCTTTTCCATTTTCCATGGAACTTTTTAGTCAATCAAATAGAGCTTTAGATTTTTAGTAGATTTTGATAAAAATTGATAAAATATATTGTTAAAAAGTTATGAATTATATAAAATATGTGATAAAAATTTATCGTTAATTTTGACTTAAATTACGGACTTGATATAAGTAATACTGAAAGTTGTAGTAAGGAATTACATTGACTTTACAGGAAACGCATTATAAAAATTTTGAAGGGCCAAACACACTGTTGCATCACCACCCTCTTTCATTCTAAATCCTCAACACATATTAAAATTTTTCACAAAATACATATAGGCAGTTTACACCCTCTGCTGCTATGGTACTTTCTCGCATTTTCTACCCCACTTAGGCCAAAATTGTCTCATTTTGAAGCATTTAGAAAAATCGCCTCTAATACCTGTCATGTGCCATCCTTGTGCTTGTTTTTCTACTAAATTGGAAGACTTAAACCAACTTGACAGTACGCTCACTTACTGGAGGTACTTTTCAGTTTGCTCTAGTCAAACGTGTCATTTTTCATTTTGTCCAAAAATTTTTACCATTCACCACAATAGCCTTCCAAAGCTGAAAAGTCGAAATTACCCTTAAAATGTTATATAAATTACAAAAAAATGATATTATTTAAAAGACAATAATACCCTTTTTTAAGTTATAAAAAATTCCAACACTTTTCACTTAAAATTTCGAAACCACTTTCTTTATCCGTTTACTCCAACACAGATAAAAATTGTTTCATTTTTCTTCTACTTCAAACTTGAAAATAGATAAATTTATCAAACGCTTAATAAAGAAATATTATTCATAGCCATCAGTGAAATCAGCAATTATATTTACGTATTTTAATTTTCGTTCGGTAAAATTAGCGCAGTATGTTAATCTTTAAATCTTATTTCGACATAGGTATATGAAAATTTTACGATCTTAAATGAATCTATAATCATTTTTAACAAAAACGAGAAAAAAATCCATCTGTATAAATAATTTCAGACAAATTTACTATCGGTTGTAAAATGGTCAACCAGACATCCAGATAGATCCAGACAGCCCGGACGTCCGGGCAGTCCGACCCGGATGTCCGGGTCCAACGCACCTTGTAATATTTTTGGGTCATAACTTTCTCTCATAATATCCGATTGAGGTGATTCAAGATGAATTGAAAAGCTAACTCAGAGGTCTACAACTTTGCTTCAGATACCATCAGAATTCGATCGTTTTCCATATCAAAAACTGGTCTCAATATGAGGCTGAAAATCGGTACAAAACTTTTCAACATTTTTGGGCAATAACTTTCTCTTCTAATGTCCGATTGAGATGATTCAAGATGCGTTAGAAAGCTAACTCAAAGGGTTACAACTTCACTTCAGATACCATCTTCGAATTCGATCTTTTTCCATGTCAAAAATTGGTCTCAATATGAGGCTGAAAACCGGTGCAAAACTTTTCAGCTTGAAAGTTAATATGTGATAATGTTTTGGCTATATTTCATCCATTTGACTCATTTTTCATCCAATTGACCTCTAACACTCTCGACTCTTCATCGCAAGGTTATAAAGAAGTTTAGAATATTTGTACTTTAATCCATAAACTATCACTTTCCTCAATTTTGGACATTTTCGCTCTTTTCTTCTAATTTCTATTGTATTCGTTCATTTGCAGCAGCTAAACCAAAATGCAAGAGTACTTCGAATATTTAGGCGCCTATAAATCATGAAAAATACAATTATTAGTGGATGAAAAACTTGATAATTGCATTATTATCACCGCCTATTCTGACAAATTTCTGCCAATTCACCATTTTTCACTTCATTTCGTTTTGTTTTACCTCCTCTTCGAGTCCAATTTTTATGATCTCACACGGCTTCATCTAAGGCTCCAAAATACGTGAAAGTTGATATCAGAGCTGCAGCTCAAGACACTCGAGAAGAAAGCTTTAGATCCAATGGAATCGAACACCACAGAGGTGGTAGATCCTCAAAAGAGGAACACGAAACAGCTTGCGGATGCACTTGAGATGACAACTGCTAGGTTGTGCTATACCGCAAAGAGTCTCGATGAAAGAGTCGGGGCGGCAGAAGCTAAGATTCGTGAATGAAACACCTAACTGGGTGAAAGTCGAATTGCTTGCATAGCAATAACTGAAATTGTTGCTATCATTCCTGATTTGCAGGATGATATAGAAGTGTTGAGAGCTCAATTACTAGTTCTTCAACGGGCGGTTGATAATGGGCAACCCACTGCACAAGAGCATGTGCATAGGCTCAAATTCTAGATCCGTGTACCTACGGAGGGGTACGAGATGCTAAAGAAGTTGAGAACTTCTTGTTCTATATGGAACAATACTTTCTTCCGGCTTTGATCCAAGACGAAGAGAGAAAGGTTACAAAAGTTACCATGTATCTAGGTGGAGATGCAAAACTATGGTAGCAGACGAAGTATGCTGATATTCAGGCCAACAGGGTCCGAATAGATTCTTAGGATCTTCTCAAGAAAGCAATCCGATCTCAATTTTTCCCAAAGAATGTGGAATATGAGGCACGCTGGGCCTTACGAGAACTGAAACATACAAGCTCCATTAGAGAATACGTGAAAGCCTTTTCAAGACATATGATGAATATTCGAGATATGTCAAAAAAGGATAAGCTATTTAACTTCATGGAA